CTATTCGAAAAATCAATCCAAAATCTGAGTATTTTTCAGTTTTACGCTGACTTAGCCTTATAGTCGAACCAATCGATCTTTAGACAAAATTATAATGAACACAGAAGTAATTTTAAAATAAATACAGTATTTTACGGAATCCGTTCCTGAAATATACAAATAATAATATACCAAAAGCCCGAAAAAATCTAATCAGGGGAACATTGTTCATTATAAAGATATTTAATGGGTTAAAATCAAACGTTTTATTGCACAACTGCTCTGCTGGAAGCGTATGGTCGTGCCCCAATTTATCTCTGTTCACTTATAGACAAACAGGTTTCTTCCCGTTTTACTCGTTCTTCTCAAACCCTCAAACTTGTTACTCCACGAGTCAAGCATATTCGTACCGGTGAACGCTCTTTTTCTTTCTCTGCTCCCAAACTCTGGAACTCTCTGCCTCCTCAATTACGTATCATTTCTGATCCGCAAATTCAAATCTACTCTTAAATCATTCCTCTTCAAATAGTTCAACTTCTTTCTAACATCCTCCAGCGCCGGTGACAAGCCAGTTTTGTTTGCTTTAATAGGCGCTTTAAAAATGTGTATTATTATTATAAATGCATGTCGTTGCCAAGTTGTTGTTAACGAAAAAATGTGAATTATAGGGTAATACGCCTTAGCGCGATCCAAAAGCGGGGAACACATAGGTTTGTCGCGTCAAAGGGATCTGTTGCCGAGTGATCTCCTTCTCAATAATAGCTCCATGCTAAAACTATCATTCCCACGCTAAGACGAGTCGAGTGGCCGAGCGGTAAGGCAGGGGCGCCGCAGCTACAGCCTTTAACATCGGCGCTGGTTCCAGCCGCTCCTCGCCCATGGTTCGGTTGGTAGAACCAAGTCTTCTCGGATAAGGACTGAAAATGGAGGTCCAGTGTATACATCTGGCTCGTGTGCACTTTCAAGAACCCATTGCATCTTTCTGAAGAGTAGGGGGTTACCCCGATGTTATGGTTCATTTCAGCCCCTGTCGTTGTGGAATGATGTGAACATGTATCTACCAAGGAGCGCCTCTTTACGGCTGCTAGGTAGTCACGGACCACGCCTATACGCAATTCAGCACAATGACGCTGCAAGTTATGGGTTATTCTCCTACCTTTACCTTTACCTTTAAGACAACACTAAAACGATATTTCTTCGGCAATTTCGTTATTTAAAACATGGTTATTATACTACTTAAAATAACACATGTATTGTATTCTGAAAATCCGAAACTCTCCTAAATTCCGAACGTAATATTCGGTATAAACACAAAAATCAACTTCTTAAACGAGACGATCAGTTAAACCCTGAACAAAACAACAAGCATAGGTCTACCAGATGCCGTGAAAAAGAACTGTAATGTCATGCCATGGAGATTATAATAAATTGATTAAAATGACACAACAGTATGTTAAACAAAAAGTTAAACCTTCCACTAGGGTGATTCTTTTCAGTATCCTGGCGTTTTAAAAACTAAAGTGCTATTTCCGAGCATCTAGACGTGTAAATTTTACAAAATTTTCTAACCCCAGCCCGAAACATGGTGGGGCTGAGGTTATTGGAGACTCACACTGTACCAATCAATGCTTCTGCCACCCCTGATTACGGAGGAAATTTGTAGAGAATGAAATTTAAATTTGTCAGATTTATTTCTAAAATAAAACCATTAAGGTTTCTTGATATGTTTAAATTAATTTGTTTAATTCAGTCATCATCATCTTGCACTGAGCTTGTTCCTTGTGTCATGCACTATGAAACTTTGGGTGATCTGACGTCATCGAAGGATGTGTTTGCACACCACTGTTGCACCCCTGAAAAACAAAATTAACAAATTGGCGGACAGGGTTTCGGAGGCGCGGTCTCTGCCCTCAGCAAAGTGAATGCAAAAAAAATAACGAAATTAAGAACTTGAGTGCTATTTCCGAGCACCTAGACATATAAATTGTACAAAATTTTCTAACCTCAGCCTCAATCATGGAGGGGCAGAGGTTATTAGAGACTCTCACGCCGTATAAACGGCAGCAGAAGCGGGGTGGGGGGCCATTGGCCAACCCACTTTTTCTACTGGGGGACTGCCTTCCCCCCCCCTTTTGTGACTGTTCCCAGCACCAGTGACAAACATTTTACGAATGCTGCAATGTTATTATTATTATTATTATTGTTATTGTTATTGTTATTATTGTTATTATTATTATTATAATCATTATTATTATTTGGTGCTTAGACACCTTGTTTATTTGCACCTTATAAATTGACCTATTATTATCAATATATACTGTAGATTTTTTTTTCATTTTCTAACAACAAGCATTACAAGTTCCCTTTTTGAATTGAGCAACCAAATGTTGATTGATCTGTATACGCGCGTCTGTAAAGTTGATGAGGTGGGTGGACATTTTATTTGCGCCAAACCCTCCCTGGGTCCCCTCTATTTCGACTTCCTGGACCAGCCACAATTGGAGTATCATTTCTGGGCTACATAGAAGGGTAATTTTTATCCATCGGAGGACAAGTGAAGTTGTCGTCGGGGAACCCATTTTATGGATAACCCTTATGATAAATAATTCATTGAGATCATGGAAGCAATCTCGACATCGACTTTGTTCGGAAATATGTGACGCATTCAAGTGGGGCTGGGGCTAAATTGTTCAATTTTTTTTTAATGGAGATATAAGCAAAATTATATTCAAATTTTAAGCCTACCAATGAAAAGGTGTCATTTAAAATAATACGTACAAATGATTCATTTAAATTGCATATATTTTCTGTCATTTCTTATCTAAATCCTATTCATTGTTTACAAAGTTCATAAGCGTAAACCCTGTCTCTTATTTACCTCAGCCCCAACCTTAGTGGGGCTGAGGTAGTATAGATTTTCTATCTGTGAAAGTACCCTTCCGGGGCCCTTCTATTTCGTATTCCTGGATCTGCCACTGGAAATTACAACAAATATGAAGTCATATTACAGTAGCTTGACGCCTATAAAATAACTTGGCATAACAATACCACACATAAGGCTAATTCAAGTTAGACGGCTTAAACCAGCCAGATTCCTAACAGTTATAAGTCCTTGGAATAATGACATAATCAACTTGACCCTTAGTGTAGTATCAAAAGTAGCATCACAAACATACCCAGCATTCAAAGTGAAGAGCTCAGATAGATGGTATTTGTTTACATTTGCAATGAAAATTGTTACATAATAAAAAAAAAAATCTTGTTATTGCCATGCCCATAAATCCCATACATGGTCCATGTAAATAATTTGCTTGTGTTTTTTTTTTTTTTTTAGTTTAAAATCTGTATCTGTTTTGTTAATTTTTTGTTATTAATTTTTATTTTCATTTAGGAGAATGAATCCATTGACGAAATTATCCAGAAGTTGATTTTTCCACGGCTGAGGCCAGGCAACCTCAAAGAAGTCATCCCACTCTACTTCGCTGCCGAGGGGAGGAGAATAATAATAATAATAATTAATAATAATAATATGCAAGTTTTTATTTAGCGCTCTATACAAGTAAGTCTCAGAGCGCTGAGAAGAATTGCGAAGGCCACTGGCTCTAGCCCTTCTACTGGGCACCTTCTATGTTTTTAACATTCAGTATCATAATAAAGCAAAGAAATATATCTTCCTAGAATCCAAGATGTTTGAAAAGATGAAGGAAGCCAACAAACATGTCATTACACTGTTTGTAACTTTCTAGTTGGAAAATAAGAGTCATTCATTTTGAAGGGGTACTTCTCTCGCTAATTGCCATTATAGGCATGGTTTATACGTGTAAAGATAAAAGAATAATGTATTTTGTGAACAAAAATAAAGGAATGATTATTTATAGAATTTTTGTGTGGTCTTTATTGATTTGTGGTCTATTGAAATTATTTCCAAGGAGTCAATTTAACCCTAAAAGTGGAGTTAATAAAAAAGGTACAGAACGACTCCTTTTCTGGAGTAATATTTACTCTTGTATTTTTATTCCCCAAAGGGAGTAATATTAACTCCAAAAAGGGGATGGGAATCACCCTTTTTTTGGAGTTAATGTTACTCCCTTTGGGGAGTAAAAATATGAGAGTAAATATTACTCCAGAAAAGGAGTCGTTCTGTACCTTTTTTATTAACTCCACTTTTGGAGTTAAATTGACTCCTTGAAATTAACAGTGTGTGTCTTGTCACCATAGACATTTTCAAGAGGGTTTGGATGAAGTTATATATATATTATATATTTGCTGGTAGAAGAGCTATTTCGTGCTTAAAAAGAAGTGTTTCTTATAAGCACATGAATCTAGTTCAACTGCTGAAACGTGTGTAAAAATAAAGATCATTAGCCTGTGTGTAAATATACCTGATGCATTGAAGCACATCTACGAAATGTATTTTTAAATTATATTTTTAAGAAATACATAAGCGTTCCACCTGACATTACAGAAGGGTTAAATGAACAATACAGTTGAACCAATTATATGTCAGAATGCTAATCTCTTGAAAATTTCATTCGAAAATATTCTTTTCATGTGTATGTATGAAAATAACTAGAAGTAGCAACAGATTCTAATATAATCAACTCATTGAATTACAGTTCCATTCCAATTTATTGTTGTTGGAAATACATCGACCTTACCTGAAGGAATACCTGCTCTTGCACAGGGTCAGATTAACATAGGGGATTTTGGGGCACCAGGCCCCAAGGGGGAAAAATAGGTCGCCGAACTCCCGGAAATCTCGTTTTATGTTTTAGCCACAGAATATTTATGTCCACTTGCAATTACAGCCCCAGCTTCCATAGCCCTTTAATCCGGCCCTGCTCTTACGTATGCTAAAATCCTGTTGGCAGGCTGTCAAATTTTATATTATTGTCAAATTGGCAATTATATAGTCACAATATACTATGGTCTCAATTTAATGTCATCATGGCCATATTTAGCCATGTCACATGTTTTTGCATATTCTGTATGTTACCAGTTTCAACTGGAAACAAAATAGGCCTAAGTTATTTCTTTTAAGCATAACAAAAATAACTTATTTTTAAAATGGAGGTGACCTTATATTCGAGATATTCATACCCAAAGTAAAGTAGAACACCTCTTTTAATGGGATACCCTCATCAATGGGACATTTTTTGTTTGTTCCCGAAGGTTTCCTCTAGGGGCGGATCCAGCGAGGGGCCACGGGGACCCGTTCCCCTAATTTTGAATTTCCATTGACGACCAACACAACGCTATCCCGGGGATTTTTTCTAACGATTTCATAAATCAGGGTGTAAAAAAGGCTAAAATACAGACACCTAAGACGGTGTTTTTTTTGCCATAATGTAGTACCCCAGCTTTAGAACAGCTATCCATGCTCAGATGGTGTGGCGGTCCTAGCTGTATGGCACCCTAGTCCCCAAATCTCGATGGTAAATACTACGGCCGAACTCGCCGTCTCTGAAACATTTTTATGCCAAATTACAGCTTCTTCAGACCATGGAGGAAATTTTTTTCCTCCATGTTCAGACCACCTGAATGTAAATCATATCAGCAACACCTACCTTTTTTCTAATCTCAATTTTTTCATTATATCTTCGTTTTTTAAGGCGCCACGTTTTAAAGCTTTGTTTCTTGTGGTTTCTTTTTTCCAAATATAAATTTTCATTTTCATTGTATTGCATATATTTATATACATGGTTTGGAAATAAAAGATTATAAATTGACAAACCTTTAATTTTTACGTGCATCAAATAGTTTACTATCTTCAATTAATGTCTGTTTACATTGACACTATATCGTCTCCATAGTACCCAATATTCATCCCTGTTTTTATTCCAGATTGCATACAATCAAAGCACTTGTGCACGTATCACTGCCTTCAGATCAAATATTGTGTCTAACATCAAGCCCAGCCCTGTGAAAGTGTATAACTATTATCAACCAGGTAAAAGTCGTAATAATTTATTATTAAAAGAAATTTAGTTTAATAAAAATATCTCAAGAACACACTTGGATTACTTAGCCTACTAGGCTTTTTGTATCTCGATAGCAAGAAGTCACAGCTTCAAATCCAACCAGAGACGCTTAAAAAAAGATGGATTTTTTCTTACAGTGCTACATATAGTACGATGCATCAACATGTTTACTTCATTATAATAGCTGTGACCTGTTCAACACGATCTAGGTTACTGTACATAAGAATAGACCACATATTCCAGAGACACTATTTCAAACAATTGATAGGATATTTTTTTAACTATGCCTGATATGATCTTTGCATCCTTGTTTTTTTGTTTTTTTTTTCTATATCGACCACTATCAATCGCCTATATTCGTTCAATTTAGGTAATTCAAGACTCTTTAGTATTAGGTTTTTAGTTATTTCTTACAGTTAATTTATTCTTTTCTTTTTTTTTCACTAGATGAACAGATGACCAAGTTTTATGTTTCTGAAACTTTGTTGAATGCCGATATCAGAGAATTGTGCAGTAACTGTGGAGAAGTAATCACCCTGAATATTAGTGGAGGAGAAACCACCGGAAAGCCTTCTTCTGGTGTGCTTCATTCAAGCCTAAATCCTCTCCTTAACATAATTTCACTCGTTCTGAGCTGTTTTCTTACTGGGTTCATGATGAGAGTTAACCATCACTTCTGAATTATTGAAAACAATGTAACTCCCAAAGTTTTATTAGAGATAATTGGGAAAAAAAATGCCTTACTTGCTTTATAATAATAGTCTCCATGGCCCTTCTCTGTTTATTTTTCTTTCTCATAATAATATTAAATAAAGTTAGAATAATATTAATAATGACAATAGCATTTTTCGTATGCCTATCTCATTCTTGAATTCTTTATTCCTCATTATTACGTTCTTAGTCGGTGTGATTAACACCTCTCTCCATCAGGTATCGCGTTAGAGGATTATTATTTGATTTATTCAATATCTGAACCTTATACAAATGTAAATACAAAACACGTCTAAAAACCTAACGGGGATATTTGAATTACCCTCTAAGTCCCTATTAAGACAGGTCCCTCGTTTAACAATCACATCTCCCATCTATAACCCTTCTTCTCTGCTTTAATTTTTCCTCATAATAATAAGCCTATAATAGTATGACAATAGAATTTTTGAATATATACGCATATATTATATATAGTAATGGTAAATGTTTAATCTTGATGGGTGGTGGCGATATCTATTGTTTTATAAAATGTTAATCTATTGTTTATAGTATATATTTAATCTCAATTAAAAGAAATAATATTTCTATACTTGTATTTTTGCACTGAATTTTAGAAAATACTATGAATAGTTTTTTTTTCTGTATATAGAATTTTTTTTAATTGTTTTTATAATGACATAATCTTATGATATGCCTTGGTACCTGTATATATAATAAATGTATTTGTTATTTTTCATACCAGTTATATGCAGTACAATATCGTATCTTGATGTTAATAATTTCCAGAGAGCATGGAACACAGATGTCACAGAATTGCAGAGTTGACATTTTGTAGTATGGTGGCGCCAGCAGGGGCAGGGAGGGAATTTTTCCCTTTATCTTACAGCCTGGACCCCTCATCATTCGCCTCAACGAGGACGTCGAACCAAAAGTATTTATTTGACTATACAAAATGTTATTTTGATTGCCAGTCTCTAATGTTGTGGTCTGAAAGACAATTTGTGCCATACCAAACCATAAGCCCCCTCCCCCGTGAACCCTACCAGGATTTTTTTGTTCCGGGACCCTGATCGAGGCTCTAGTCCACCCCTTGACTTGGACCCCACTGTCGGACATGTCAGACCCCTTGTCGGCAAATTTCTGGAGCCACCACTAGTATTATATAGTTGAAAGTGTAGAATGTATAAGTATGCATTGGTAGTATGGGTTTACTCGAATAAATCGTTTATATTAGAAATTTTACACTTTTGAGTTTTTAAAAATGTTGGCCTAATAGGTTTACACGCTTCCAATTTTAACAACGTACAGTACGTAGTTTTCCTGATAATGTACCGTATCCTCTAATAACCGTTGCACCCATAAAATCGATTGAGTAGTTACTGAGATGGTTACGAGATGTACAAACAATTACTCGGTTTTAGTTCTGAAATACGCACCTCACTTGGAACAGAGCACAAGTAAACAGACAAAATTATTCGTAGTTGTTGTTCTTTCCACTCGCTTTTAAAAGTGGGGTTTTAACTATAGAAGATTAGTGAAAAGTGGGAAAGTTGATATAATGTCCCCCACGCCCGGCTTTGAAAAGTGGGGGACCGTGTCCCCCTACTCTTTTCCACCGATCGACGCCCATGTGTTTGAACATAGATCGAGCTGTTAAAATGTATAATCTTTTTAGGAAAAATCATTAAAATTAGGTTTTTCATTATCAGTGAAGTCTGTTTACAATTAATAGACAAGCTGCCTTTCTTAGAAATCTGTTAAAGTCTGTATTTCAAATTCTGCAAGTTGTTAAATGGCTACTCATCAGTCGAAAAGGCTTGATTCCCTAAGCCCATAATCTTAACTACATGAACATCGAAGCTAGAAGTAATAATGATGCTGCTTTACTTTTGCTTTTGATCCCGGTCCGATGATCTTTCTAATTTATCTTCATTGGAAAAATCGCAATCGCCATCGACGGTAGATGTATCATTTATGTCATTTTTAGTGGTGGACAAAGGGGGACCGGCGGACCCTGTCCCCCCTTTTTGGAGAGTACAAAAAATAAAAGAAAAAAGAAATTATTGATTGTTCAAAACACCTCAGAGGTTATCTGTGCGCGTCTATAAAACAAACATTTCCCCGAACCCCCTATAAATCCGCGCTTGATTTTCAGTAGGCCATTGTTTCATATAATTTTTAATTGAAAATCACGGTCCGAAGAATTTTGCAAATTATCTGGTTTGGATGCGCCGTCAACGGTAGATATATCATTGATGTCGCTTTCATTAGACTGTTGCTTCACATTATTTGATTCAGGATCCCGGTCCGATGAACTTTGCAAATCAAACGCCTCGGATTCACCTTTGACGGTAGATGTAGCATTGCCCTTTTCATTGGGCTGTTGTTTCGAAGTATTTGATTCTGGATCTTGATCCGATGGACATGGCTTTAACTTGGTTGACTTTACTCATTTTTTGAAAAGAAATTTTAAATGATAGATTTCCAAAACTGTAGCAAGTACATTTTTTGCAGTGAAGAAGACTAACCCCTGTGAAATGTTCTGGAACTTTATGATTAGATATAACCTCATGATAAGAAAAGAACCGTCTTGCATTATAAGTGCCAATACAGTTTTACACACATCCATATTGTTGTAGATACATTGCGTACACTTTTTCCACAATAACAAAATTCCGACATCTGTTGTTTCATGAACCTGGGCCACTTGATCTTCTTTTTCCATTTTTAGATTTAGTGGTAACTGCAATAGGCTCAGTGACCAAATGGATAAGATCATCGTCATAAGACTTTTGGAACATCCAGTTATTTCCATATCGAATCCGTCGCTAAAAAACTTCAGGACGTCAGCGGCCTTACCAACATTGGCCAAAAGACGTTCGGATAGTTCCATGCACCTTGAGATAGAAGCCATATATTCCAGTGATGAGAATGAACAGGAAAAACTGTTGCAAAGTTAAAGACCATTCCTGGTCATCAAAATTTATGGTCGAAATAAGGAGCTGAGAAAAAAAAACAAGTGCAAAACCTGATACAGTACATACATTAAACATTTTTATTGATTACTAGTCAAGTTAGTTTCCAATTATGAGCCTATAAATTAAATGTTCTTGCATACACATTTGGATAAACCAAGCAAATTAGTCAGTTTATCCAAGAAGTGTGTCATATAAACTATTAATATTATTGCTGATTTATGTAATATCTGTATTTAAATTGACTGTTTTTTTTTTTTTTGTTTTTTTTTTTTTGCCAAACACAAACAGTATATCGTTGAAGCAACCATTCACTTATTGCTTTGAAAAATTTAAAATTACAAGTGTATTTGTTCAATCTTAAGTGACTACACAGCCATGACTGATAGAAAATTCAAGTGAAACACTTACGAATTCGAAAGAGAATGTTGTGTTTTCGTAAGTTATGTCATCTGTCCTACAAGTGACATTATTGTTTTCTGCATACTCCACTCGCTGGAAATATAGGTTAAATTCCAAGAGCCAAATACAAGTAATAACTGTTACTACGTAGATGAAAATACAGGGTGAAAGTCTGTAAGAAATAAAAGTGTATAGGTTTCTTAAATCATTAAAATCAATGGAATTTTTGTAATATTCTTTTTATTACTGTAGTTCATTCACTTTTTTTTACCGTAGCAAGTATTGTAAAAGCAGGGAACAGTGAAATTAATTAATTTCACTCCCTTCCTTCAGTGTCGGATCCAGGGAGTGGTTGAAAGGGCGCACCCCAACTTTTAAAATAATTAAATAAGTTCAATGGCAAATGTAGAAGGAGCTAGGAAATAAAGGAGGCCAAAAATTCAGTTTTACAGAGTGTCCAGAGTACCTCGACCCCACCACATAGTGCGAAGTCGATAAGAGGTTGCTCAGTTGGCTAAACTGGTAGTATTTTGTGTCCGCTGAGCCTGGAGACAGTTATTTTAGTGGAGCATGTTTGCATTTTGTTCACCGCACATTCTCCAAATGCATTTTCTTTCTAAGGACTGACACTTTGGAATTCACACCCTACATAAATTAAATTTTGTTACCTATTTTTAAGTCTCGATTTTTCCCACTAAAAACATGTAGTGTACAGCGCCACTGATACTGCACCTTGGTCGATTAAATGACAATATAAATTCTTACATAACATAATAATTCTGTAATAAGATTAGTTAAAAATTGTACCAAACCAACCAAACTCTAGAATTGGATTTACAACTTTGCGTCATATGCATTCAGTGGATATATTCTAAATGAATCTTGTACAATTTAGGTACGTGATATCACCTAGGGGTATGCAAATGGGTAGGATAGGGGTGGCAGGCCCAAAGGAATGATTCAAATTGAAGAATTTTTTCTGCTTTATCCGTTAGGTTTCCGCATTAATCAGGATTCTGAAATTGTCTACAAAGTCACAAATAAACGATTTTATAAAACAGATACTTACAACTCCCCTTGAAATGTTTTCTTGTCAAGTAGCAATGCCTTTGATGATCAACAAAACATTTAGGAATATTAGCAACCAATATAAGTTATCATCAGTGAGTTATACGACCCGCCAAATACACAACATAGCAGGGGTTACAAACAACGCTAGAGCTAAAAGTGAAGGTACTATGCTAATTCGCACCAAAGGCATTTTAGGAGGGTTTTGGATGAAGTTTATGTGAGTGATACGTATAGCACACAAATCTAGTTCAACTGCTGAAACGTGTCTAAAAATTCGAACATTAGGATTGTATTTTCTAAGTCAAACCCAGATTGCTTTTGATTTGTTATGTGCAAAACGGGATGTTGACAGTCTTTATTAATCCTTTAAGGCACTAAATACCCTGACGCATTGAAGCACATCTACAATGAATTTTATAAAGTATATTTCAAAGAAATACGTAAATCTCCAACTGACTGCACAAAAGAGTTAACTGAACAATATATTTGAGCCAATTAATTATCACAGATTGCTAATTCAACATATTTGAAAATCACGAGGAGCAGAAAAAAACCTTTTTTTTCAGAGCCGTTCGAATAGATTGTTACCCTCGCCACTCAGGCCTGGTCACAAGATTTGGAACCTAAATGGGAGACGCTGCTGCCAAACTTGATCTTTCTAAAATATGTTTTATGCCAAATCACAGCATAATCCATCACGTCTAAACATATTGAAGACAATCAAACCCCTAAAATTTAATTCTTGTAAAGACATTGGACAAAATATATTTATATATTCCTTACTAATAATGCTAAAAGCATAGTTTCCCGGGCCCTTTTAACCTAACCCCCTAAAATTTAATTTAAAGATAATGGGAAACATACTTTTATATATTTCTTACTTAATGCTAAACGCATAGTTTTCCTGCTTATTTTCATTCTCATAATAATAATAATTATTATTATTATTAGTAGTATTAATAATAATACAGAAATAGAATAATATTAATAATGCATACTACAAGTATTGAAATAGGCACACCATCGTGTTGGATGGCGTGTATTTCAATACTTGGAGTGTGGTATGTATTATATTTCCTTACCTGAGACTTTTCAGTTTCTAGAATAATAACATTTTTTGATGGATATCATCATTATATTGGTCAGTGGGATTGCACCTCTGTCCATTCATGTTTATCGTGAAAGCTGAAATGTATCGTATATAAAATGTATCAAGTACCTATTGTTCTTATTATTTAACAACCACATCTCCTGTAGCGGGTCCCGTAGCCCTTAGCTGCTCTATTTTTTTTCTCATAATGATAATAAGCCTATAATAATAGGGAGGTTTCGCATGGTTATGAAAGAAAACGATAACAAATGATTACGTCGTCAAATTCTTAGTCAATCAACCCACAATGTAGGTCATCCGTGCCTTTTACATTAATTAACGATCATGTTCATCTCATATTCTGTATACGGTCAAGAATGTTTAGACACAAATGACGATAATGATGACGTATTTGTATTGTTATCGTTTTATAAGGTTGTGAAATCTCCCTAATAATACAGTAGCATGTTTGAATATGCTGATATTTATAATAATAATGGTAAATAGTTGATGGGTGGTAGAGCGATACCTGTTGGGTTCTTTTACCATTATTACTATTATAATAATGGTAAATAGTTGATGGGTGGTAGAGCGATACCTGTTGGATTCTTTTAATAATAAGCCATTGTTTATAATAAAAATAATAGGCTAATGACAGACAGTAATAAAAGCAATATAAGTTGTTGGTATAAATGTTTACTATT